AGTGTCTTTTCTCCCCCCCCCCCCCCCCCCCCCCACAGTAGCAAACCTCAAGTGTTTGCACTGGCCTTGTGTGGCTCTGCTGAGGCATCAACACCTTCAAAATGAAAGAACCTTTTGAGAAAGGTGCCTGGATACTTTTCTCTGAGCTCAGAGTTCTCCTTCTTTTCAAGAACATCAAGAAACCAAGGAGCCAGGGTGGCTTGCTTTGAGATCAAAGCAAGGTGCAAAATGGAAATTAATCCTTCTCACAGGCTAGAAACCTGTTTCTGACTCAGTGATAATAGAAAATCCCAGCAAGACACCACAAAGACAGAAGAAAAACAGAAGTCAGAAAGCAAGTTTATCTCTTCAGTCCTTATGGCTGTGCTCACACCACCAGCAAGGGGACACAATCAAACCCTTCACTTGCACCACTGAGATCCCATCTACAGAGGCACGAGGGAGCTAACAAGTTGCAGTACATGCACACTTGGCTATTTCAGCACATTTCCCTGCCATGACTGTTTCTAAACCCACTGAACTTGGTGATGACCCAGAAAGACCATGTCTCTGGCTGAAGGGGGCATAAGGCCAAAGGATGCAGGTGGGGGAAGCTCAGCTCTCACCTCCTGCCCTTGGATATAGGACCAGGCAGTGACTGACCAGCCTCTCCATGAGCACATGGCACTCGTGCCAGTGGGCTGGTTCCTCTCCTCTGGGTTATTTACTCTGCTCCTATGTCACAGAGGTGATGGCACAGAAGTGCTCCCTGGGGAGGATGCCTTAGGCTCATTGAGGTGGCCTTGCAGAAGCCCTCACTTAAAACACACCAGGCTCCTTTTGACACCTAATTTTCAATGCAATTCCACTCTTTGTTCCCCTCTAAGCCTCCCTTCACAAGAGTTAAGGCTCCAGCTTCTGACTCACAGGTTTGATCCAGGAGGAGAAAATGGAAACAAAAAAGGCAGTAAAGCAAGAAGCAGCGTGGCCCCTCCTGCCCCCAGCTCCAGGACTTTATCTGGACAGGTATCAGCAGCTGGGAGGTGTGTGGGAAGCAAAGTGGTGTGAGGCTACATAAGACCTGTGAACCTGCAGACAACATGAAACTGGGGGTCTGGGTTACACCTGGTTTCAAAGCACTTCTGCACCCTCGGAGCTGAGCACGTCACCCTCACAGCCCAGGGGATGGGGCTGCACCCCGTGCCAGCAGTGGGAATCAGCTTCAAAGTCACATTTTTGATCCTACCTCAGACAGGATTTGTTGGCTGTGTCATAGTCACCCTCCCCAGGATTTTAAAGTCTAAATCATCATCTATAATTACACAGGTTCTCTTTCCTGGTTGCAGACGACACAGACAGAGGGTGTGGGCAGAGACAGCCTGAGCTTCCTGCTCTGCCAGCCCCTGCTCCTGGCACGGGGCAGAGCTGCTGACTGCATCAGCTTGGGCAGTGACATCAAACCTCAGCCTGTGGAGCCAAACGCTGTCACCTCCCACCACATCTCCACACACGTGGCACCTCCACAGCACGTGGCACCTCCCAGACCCTCTGCCAAAGGCACAAGCACCCATGGGCCGTCAGCTGGGGCGACTGGGCAAAAAACCAACCCCATCTCTACACGTGGCAGAAAAGACTTCTCATTCCTCTGGCATTTCTGGCAGATTCCTCCACGTGCCTTCAGAAGGAGCCAAGCTGCATGAAGCACAGCAACATGAAAGCCAAGCTGTTGTTGCTCTCCATGCACCACCACCAAATGTTAAAGCCATTTGGTAGTTTATCTGGAGAAACTAAAACCACAACAAGACAAGGAAGCGGAGCCGACAAAACCCACTCAACCCATTAAGGGCAGACTAAGCAACTGAAAAGGGTGGTAATTAACATTTTTGCTTGGCTTATTTGTGCCCGCCAACATGATTTATGTACTCAGAGATCTCTCAAGTGGGTCCTGCAGGAAGTTGCTGCCTCAGAGAAGATGTCAGTGCTGCGCTAAA